CTGCGGACTCAAGGGTCCCAGATTCAATTCCAGTCAAGGGCACACGCTGGGGTTGTGGGCTCCATCCCCCCCCCGCCCCCCCCCCCACACACACACAAGTAGGAGGCATGCAGGAGGCAGCCAATCAATGCTTCTCTCTCATCATTGATGTTTCTATCTCTCTATCTCTCTCCCTTACTCTCTGAAATCAATAAAATAAATATATGTATAAAAATAAGAGGCCAAGCCCTGGGCTGAATTCATGATGGAAATGATCCCACTGGACCCTCACAGCACCCCAAGAGAGCAACCTCACTGGGGCTGGAGCTAGGAGGAGTCAGGTGCTAATAAGCCACAGCTCTGGGAGGCCGACCGCCCAAGCTAGGCCGATTTGGCCGCACGCTTCAGGGCAATATCATTCTACATGCAACACATTTCATCATTTGAATTTGTTACAAAGATACACCGTTCATAATTGGAAAATAAAGATTTAATGGGAGGGGGCCCTTCGCGTGGCAAGCTGGTACGAGCTCAGTCAGGTCCAGAGGACTGCTTGGGTATAAACGTTCTTTCTCTTTCACACGTCTGCAGGAGTGTGAAAACCTCCCTTTCATATTGAATCAGGCTCTGTTTATGTTCCCTTCAAAATATCAGATTGTTAATTATTTGCACAACAGCCTGAAGTAGAACAGGTTCTTTCTTGCACCCAGCATAAAAATCTCCCTACAGACCAATGGCCTTGACAGGATCCTCTCTGGTGACAGACAGTGATAAAAACTCACTTCCTCCTGCAGGGGTCCGCCCCGCCTCTGAGCGTGGTGAGATAGATGGGTATCTGCTGCTTCGCACACCACACAGCCCTCTCGAAAGCTGTGAACATCTCCAGGGGAGAGGACACACTGGGCCAAGTTGTCTGTTATTGTTTTTACAGCAGCCTTGAAGATAGAAGCCATGAACTACCAGCCCACAGCCGTGCTTGCCAGCTCACCCAGCTCACCGCCTGCAGGTTTTCAATGCAAAGAGGAAAGTAAACTAATGTGCTCTTTGCACAGAGTAAAACGTAATTAAGGTGTAGCACTGCCTGTGGGAGACTCAAGAACCACTCACGGGCCGGAGCGACCCTGGCTTTGCAATTCTGGCACCGAAATCTGCTGATTCCCTTCAGTTACTACTTTTGTGGATCGTGACTGTTGGTCTCTAGAATGTGAGATAAATCTTCCTGGAGTGAGTCACAAATCTAGACCTGGAAGTGGCTATAGATAGGTTGCCAGATAAAATACAGGATGCCCAATTACTTCATGGGACATATTCATACTGGAAATTAGTCATCATTTATCTGCAATTCAACTTTAACTGAGCATCTTGTATTGTTTTTGTTATTTTGTTAATCCTCACACAAGGATATTTTTTTTTCCATTGAGTTTGCCTCCTGCACCAATCAGGGCCAGGGATTAAAACTCAAATACAGGTAGGTGCCCTTGACCGGAAGTAAACACAAGACCCTCTGGTACACAGGAGACACTTTAACCACTGGGCTACACCAGCCAGGGTGAGCATCTTGCATTTTTTTATTTTTTTAATCTTCACCTGAGGATATGTTTTTTTAAATTTATTTTTTAAAAATTGATTTTAGAGAGAGGACAGGAAAGAGAGAAGCACCAATCAGTTGCCTCCAGTATACACCCTGTCCAGAGATTGAACTTGAAACCTAGATATATGCCCCAACTAGGGATTGAACCTGCAACCTGGATATGTGCCCTGACTGGGAATTGAACCAGTGACCTTCCGGTGAATGGGACGACGCTCCAACCAACTGAGCCACTCCACCCAGGGCACATCTTACATTTTTATTTGCTAAATCTGGCAACCCTATACAGCGTTGGTCTTATTTCTAATACCTGGGTTTCTCAGATGAGTCCATGAAGGCCCGGAGAGAGAAAGTGAGTGAAAGGCAGGGTCAGACTGTCTGATCTTTCTTGGTCTCTGTACAGCCACCTCCCAGATGAAATCAGAATAACGCTTTGGAGGTCATGACTCACTATGGTGCCTCGCCTTACCTCCTTAACAAAGACCTCACTTGAGGACCAAGGGCAGCAGTGAAGAATCACAGTTGAGGAATGTGACTGTTTGCCTAGGTGGGTGGACCCAGCAGACAGGACGGAACCAGGTTCCACTCCCTGCTGGGAGGCTCTGGGCAAGCTCTCAGAGCATTTCCTTACAGCAAACACAGGGAAGAAGGCACTAAAGGGCCATGGCCGGCTCCCGAGTAGGCACCTGGCAAATCTTGGTGTCCTTTCTTCTTTAGAAAAGGCATTTTCTTTTTTGCCACAGGATGAGAATTCCTGTAATTCCAGCCAAAGGGACTGTGCTGGGAACAGATGCTACAAGCGTTAACATGCCTTCTATCCTGGTACACAGAGTGCAAACATGAGCATCTTCCTGGCTTTAGCCCATGGACCTGCAGGAGGCTGTGAGCTCCTCTTGGGGAGGCAGGGCAGCTGCCGGGCCCACAGGGACTCACCAAGAGGAAGTGAAAAAGGATGGGGGTAAGGGTAGGGACAGGGTGCCCACTGAAATGCTCAGCTGCTTCTGTCACCAGGCAGGGTCTTGGGCCACCTGGGGTCCGGCCTTGGCCTCCCACTGATTGGCCAAGTAACTTTGAGCAAAGTACTTGCCCGCTGCTCCGTTAGGCCTCCACGTGGTCAAGCTCAATGCTGATGATTTGTGCACCTTTCCACGTCATATGTCAATAGAAATGTTCATTTAAAAATCAGGAGTATGCTATTAGAAGTCAGGTTAATGATTAATTAACCATAGGGTTCATTTAAAAGCATGTAATTGTTTTTATAGCAGCCTTGAAGACAGAAGTCACAAACTACAGCCCACAGCCCCTGAGTGCTTGCCAGCTCACTCCCTGTGGGTTTTCAGTGCGAGGATTAAACTAATGTGTTCTTTGCACCAAATAAAATGTAACTACGGTGTGGCACTGCCTGTGGGAGACACAGAACCACCCACTGGCTTCAAGGGGAGATGGGGCTGCAAGGGGCAAGATGAGGTTCCTGGGGAAATTCTGTCTCTTGACCTGGATGTACCCTTCTGATGTGTACATATTACTGTATGTATATTATACCTTAACCTTTTAAAGGGGGGGGTGGTACACTTGGTGGTCTCAGAGGCCTGGCCTAGCCTCTGCTATATTCAAGAGCAACTCAATGTGAGGACTAGGGGTTCAAGGCCTGCCACTTACCCACCCGTGACCTTAGGTCATTTTACCTTTACAGGCCTCTGTGTCTCATCTGTAAAATGGGAATATAACTATTTGGTCAGAGCAGTAGTTCTCAACCTTCCTAATGCCGCGACCCTTAAATACAGTTCCTCATTTTGTGGTGACCCCCAATTTCATTGTTACAAATTGAACATAATTAAAGCATAGTGATTAATCACAAAAACAATATGTAATTATATATGTGTTTTCCGATGGTCTTAGGCGACCCCTGTGAAAGGGTCGTTCGACCCCCAAAGGGGTCGCGACCCACAGGTTGAGAACCACTGGGTCAGAGGATGAAAAGAGGGCAGGCAGGTGATGGGCACCAGCACTTAGTGCAGGGCCTGGGATACGGCAAGTTCTCAGTAAACAATAAATGCCAGTGTTCCGCTGTCCACTTAGGGGAGTTCCCATTTCAAGCGTCCAGAGTTTATCTAAACCTGGGGCTCAAGGACCCCACCAGCAAGAGAAGGGCTTCCAGGGAGCAGAGATTAGGCATCAGAGCTTTCAGCCTCCTTGGAGCTGGCAGAGGGATTAAGTCTTTCCATAAATACACTGCCTCCCTCCCATCCAGAAGAAACAGTACCCAGGGGTAGGGGCACAGAATCCAAGGTGGGTGTGGCCTGGACAGGTAAGGGGGTGTTTTCTTGAGTTAATCCAGCTGCAGAAAGGGTCTCCCATGCACTCCTGGGAGCTGGGCAGGGAAGCCAGAGCCTGCGCCTTCAGGGGTGCCTCTCTGTGGGAAGGGGAGTTTCCCACCAAGGCTGCTATCTCCTAAGTGCCTTCCTGGGGGGGAGGGGGGACGGGGGGAGGGTGCTGCCTTTCTTTTTTTTTTGGGGGGGGGGGATGATGGTGGTACCAATCTGTGTTTATTGAATAACCTACATCCAGGACACAGTGAATGATTCCACATCAAGGCTGCCTGCCACAGGTGTAAAGGCTGCCTTTTAAGTGAAACCACCATCCCTGCCCGCCCCCAGCCCCCACCCCAGAGCCGCCTTTCAACTCCTCTTTCTCAATGACGCAGGGCTGCCCAGACTTTTCTCTCCATTCGGTCAGGCCTAACAGCCAGTCAGGGGCAGCCTGGGAGAAGTCCCCACTACCCCAGGGCCAGCCGAGCAGAGCTGTGGGTCCCCCTTTGTAAAGGGTGCCTCCCCCAGTTCCGCTGAGCTCAGCGGGCCAGAAGTCGCTCCTGCGTTCGCACCGGTCGCCCTTTGCGGTCGCAACCCGCTTTGAAGCCCTGGAAGCGAGGGGGCCCCTAAGTGAGGCGGTTCATAAATAATATATTTTGAAATACTCGATAGAGGGGAAATGGCTCCTCTCGAGGCCTCCTGCCCCCACCCCGGCCGGGCTCCTTTCCAGCTTTGAGGAATGACGACGGTCTGGTCCCTTCCCAAGGAACTCGTGACAGCGCAGAGTGTCAGGTGAAGAGTGGGGGCCAGAGGTTCCACGCGCAGGGACACACCCCCACCCTCCCGGTGTAAGTTGCAACACGGCCAGAGAGGGCCCAACTTTCCCCAAAACCGCTTCTCCGCAGAAAAGTCTGCTAGAAGTTAGAGGGACTCCCGGACCCACCAGGGGCCCCCTACCCGTCCCGGGGCGCCCCCCGCCCCCCAGCCGCCAGAGCTTGCGGGGCGTGTACGCCGCCCAACGGGGTTGCGGCACCCGGGAAGAGCGGCGTCTCCTGGAAGGGGGGCGGGGGAGTAGTGTGGGCAGCGCGGGCCAGACCCCGGGGCGCGCACGGCGGGGCACTCACCGCTTTTGGGTGGGCTCACTGCGGAGCCGCACACGGGGCGCGCGGGGCCCGTCCGGGAGCTGGTGGCGGCCGGACTCGGGTGGTCGCGGCAACCAGCCTGCAAGAGAGAGCAGCGGGGGTCATGGCCTGGGCCGGGGAGGGCCCTGGGGGGCCGTTCCGCCCCGGACGGCCCCTCGGGGCGGTGCTGACTGCAGCCCCGCCCTGCCCGCGGGCGCCGGATCGCACTGGCCAGAAGCTGGGGCGGCGCGGGGCGGAGCGGGACTCGCCCGCCTTCCCCCCACCCCCCTGGGGGAGAGTGCCTGGGACACGCCCGCCCGCGCCTTGGGCATCCCGGACTCCCCTTGCCCGCCTCAGTTTCCTCTGGCCAAACCCAGAGGGAAGCCGGGGAAACCTTGGGCGGCGGTCCAATGGGGGCTCTCCACAGTGCGCCCCTCCCCTGCTCTGCGTGCCAAGCTGCCTACAGCTGTGCGTCCCAGTCCGGGGTAGTGAAAAGGGGTGCTGCCTTCCACCATACCGGTGGTCATGCTTGAGTGGGCCCCAGCGCCTGGCTGCGGAGAGGGAAGAGGAGAAGTGGGAGGCTCCCCATCTTCCCACACCCCTGCGCTGGGCCCTGGGGTCACATAAGCAGTGTGCTCCCCCTCCCACCTCTATCTTGTCGCTGGAGCTGTGGGGCTTCAGATGGCCCTGGTGATGAAAGGGGGGGTTCCCCGGTTAGGGTCTGGCCCTTTGGCTCGCTGCACGTGCTTTTGCACCCCACTCTGGGGGGTGGGTCCAAGAGGGGGTGTCAGGAGTTGCCTCCCTGCGCTAAGCGGGCTCCAGGGTTTTGGCGACTCCCAGCTGGGAGTAATTCCCAGTCCCCTTTTATCCATATGGGTTTCTTAGGAGGCTCCCACCATGAGGCGGCCTCTGCAGGCACATACCCAGCTGGCCAGGAGGAACAAAAGAGGTCCCCTGCCATGTGTTCTTCCTGCCAGTTCCCACACCCCATGTTCTGTGTCCTTCTGGAGGGTTGGGGGGGGGGGGGGGTTGAGTCACAGAGCAGGACAGTGACACTTCTTTCGTGAATGCAGGAAAGAACTGAGTTGCAGGAAAGAGTTGGCATCCGAACTGTGTGTTCTCCCCTTGAGTCATTCCTAGAGATGTTGTAATATCTTGGTTCCCCTGACCCCACGAAGTCCACAGTGACAGGCAGGAAATGTCCTCCCCAAACAGGACAGAAAGGGGCAGGGTTAGGGGCTGATGTCCCTTCTACCAGCTGCCAAGGGTCCTGTGTCTTTTTGTCTCCTCTAATGGTGGCAGCAGAGGTGTGGGGAAGCCCGAAATGGCGGGCACAGCCGCTCACATTCTTGTTCCAGAAGGTGGAGAAGGACCTTTTCTGAGAAGCCGTGAGCAGGCCGGATGCTGGGTGCTGGTTATAAGACCGGCCTGTCTCTGGGCCCTGGTTTCCACAGGAAGAAATGGGGATTCATTCGTTTCTACAAACACTTTTGAGTATCTGCTCTACCCTGGCAACCCAACGGGTACCACAGTGAACAGGATACCAGGAGGGGGCTTGGGGCCCTTGGCCATTAGTGGTGCATTTTGACCACTCCCACTCCTGGGCTCTCCTGCTCAAGCCAAGAGAGGAGCCACCTGTGGGGGGGAGGGGGGCCGTTAGCCCAACCCTAACTGTTGGAGGAGACAGGATGCTGGGGAGGGGAGGGGCCACTAATGAGAGTAGGCCCAGGAGATTTCCATTTGTCAACTGTATGGGATTGAGAAAAGGAATGGAAAGAACCCAGTTTGCCCTAGCTGGTTTGTCTCCCTGGATAGAGCGTCGGCCTGCAGACTGAAGGGTTCTGGGTTCGATTCCAGTCAAGGACACATGCCCGAGTTGTGGGCTCAATCCCCAGTAGGGGGTGTGCAGGAGGCAGCCAATCAATGATTTTCTCATCATTGCTGTTTCTCTCCCTTTCCCTTCCTCTCTGAAATCAATAAAAAACAACAACATTAAAACAAAATAACAAAAAAGAAGAATCCAGTTTAATTTGTTCCCCACCCAGACTCCAGGCCTCCCTCCCTCCCCCCAAGGGCGGTGGGGTTCGTGCTTCAGTATCAGAATTTCCCAATGCCTAGCACTCTGGCACTTTGGCATTTGGGACTGGATCATTCTGTCCTGGCACCATCCTGGGCACTGTAATCCTGGATGTCGAGCAGCATCCCTGGTTTCAACCCCCTCACAAGTTGTGACAACCAAAAACATCTCCAGGCATTGTCATCTGTCCCTCAGAGGCACAACCAACCCCTCATGCCAGTTGATAATCCTTGAGTATGTTCTAGTGGTTTCCAGCCCTGGCATCATGCCAGGATCATTGGGACCTGAACACATAAAAAAATAAAAATAAATAAAGCTAATACCCAGGCCCAGCTCACCTAGTGATCTTGACCTAATTGGTCCAGGGAGGGCCCAGACATGGGCGTTTTGTAAAAACTCGCAGGTGAGGTTAGTCAGCGGCCACCGATTAGAAACTGAAGAGACAAATCAACAAACGGCGTGTGTGAAACCTGTATGGATCCCAATTTGGACAAAACAAATAGTTGTGAGATAATAGTGGAAAATTGAACACAGTCTGGGTACTAAAAAATATAAAAAATATTACTAATTTTAATAGACGTGATAGTGGTATCACTGTGTCTTTAAAGCCCTTAGTGATACATATGGAAAAGTATTTATTATTAAATTAGTATGAAGTTTAGGTATGCTTTAGCCAAACCGGTTTGGCTCAGTGGATAGAGCGTCGGCCTGCGGACTGAAAGGTCCCAGGTTCGATTCCGGTCAAGGGCATGTACCTTGGTTGCGGGCACATCCCCAATAGGAGGTGTGCAGGAGGCAGCCGGTCGATGTTTCTCTCTCATTGATGTTTCTAACTCTATCCCTCTCCCTTCCTCTCTGTAAAAAATCAATAAAATATATTAAAAAAAAAGATTAGGTATGCCTTAAATGACTCCAGGAAAATAAAAAGGTGGCAAAATGAGGGTAGGTGGAGAGAGACGAAACAATAATGAAATAATGTTGATAACTGTTGAAGTTAGGGGATCGGTACATGGAGGCTTATTATACTATATTTGTATATGTGTTTGAAATTTTCTGAAATATAAAGGGTTTTGTTTAAGAGAGCGAGAGAGAGAGAAAGGGAGAGAGAGAGAGAGAGCACCCAGCTGGTGTGGTTCAGTGGTTGATCACTGGTTGAACATCGATATAAACCAGGAGGTCACGGTTCAATTCCTGGTCAGGGCACATGCCCAGGTTGATGTTTCCATCTCTTTCTCCCACTCCCTTCTTCTCTGAAATCAATAAAAATATATTTAAGAGAGAGAGAGCCCACTTGGACACTGTGTTCCTGGAAGCGTGGTGAGGTGCCCCATCCCCTGAGGAACTTGGCCTTGGTTTTTGGGTGAGGGTAGTGGGAAGTTGATGGTGGGGATCCCCTGAGTTCTGGGAGGAGAGTCAAGCTCAGGGGCCTCATCTTGCACCACCCACCTGGAAGCAGCTGCAACAATTGAAGAGGAGGGGGGCAGCCTTGAACCCACAGGCCCAGGAAACTATGCCAAGGCAGTGGCCCCACATCTGCCTGTGATCACAACACCTGGAGCTTTGGGAAAAGGCAGGTGCTGGAGGTGGGGATTCCTAGGTGTGGATCTGGAGAGAGAGAGAGAGAGAGAGAGAGAGAGAGAGAGAGAGAGAGAGAGAGAGAGAAGGAGAAGAAGAAGAAGAAGAAGAAGAAGAAGAAGAAGAAGAAGAAGAAGAAGAAAAGAAAGAAGAAGAAAAGAAAGAAGAAGAAAGAAGAAAGAAGAAAGAAGAAAGAAGAAAGAAGAAAGAAGAAAGAAGAAAGAAGAAGAAGGAGTTAGGCCCCTGACACCTGTCCTCCAAAGCCCTCCCTTCTCAGCTCAAGACCCCTTGGTCTGCAGAGGAAGTAGGAGCCAAGTGATTAGCGCAATTCCTCCCCTCCTCTCCACTCAGGGATGAACGGTTTGGAGAGCAACTTCCTGTGCATGATTCAACAAGAGTTCCAGTGTTGACTGGCTGCCTACCATGTGCCAGGGACGGTTCTAGGCACTGAGAATACAGCAACTGAATGAGCATTAAAACCCCTTGCCCTGCATGGACATCAGGATCTGCATACAGAGGAGGAAAAATAACAGAGTAGGAGGCTATGGGGAGTGGGAGCTAAAATTGTAGACTAGGCAGACAAGGAGAGATTCTTCGAGAATGTGGCCTTGGAGGACACCCCTGAGGGGAGTGGGAAAATGTGGCTATTAGAAGCAAGTGCTTGCTATGGGGGTTCTGGGTTCAGGGTGCAGCCCAAGGAAGGCACCAAAGGATTAGAGTTGTAGGCCAGCTCCCCCTCCTGAAATGTCCTTCCTTCCCCCCACTTTTGCCCAGTTAACTCTTTCATAGCTCTGAGCAGTGTCTCTGCCAGTCTGGAACCCCACCCAGTGCACTGCAGACTGTTGTGGGTTCATCCATGTGATTGCTGCAGGACTGTCTCTCCACTAGTGGGTGAGCCCTGCAAGGCAGGGACCGGGTCTGCACTGCTGGCCATTATCCCCTCGTGGGCAGTCCGGAGCCCGGCGCAGGGCAGGAACGCCATGCTTCCTTGTAGAACGAATGGGGTTTGAATGCACGAACAAAGAACTGACAAGTGCTCAGAAGGTTTCCCGGAAACCGGGGACCCGACACATTCCAAGTAAAGGAGCAGGTGCCACAGCCCATTCCCAAAGGAAGCCATCTGCCAAAATGACAAGCCAGAGGAGTTGCCCGGGGGAACTGTAGGAGAGAGAGCGTCTCTGTGAGGCTGCTGTGCCCAGAAACGGGAGAGGCTGGCGTGTGGCCTCACTCACTTATGCCCCTTCTCAGTTGCCAAAAAGTGGCAGCATAGATGATGAGAGGGCTGGTGGCTCTACTGGAGCCACAGAGGAGAGGGGACAAGAGGAAGAAAGGGCGGGTCCGGGCTGAGACAACACTGGCCAGCAGGTGTGGCTGCCCCCAGACACTCTAAGAGCCTGGAAGGACATGAGCGCAGGCCTGAGGCTCCGTGGGACCCACGTGCTGACTGAAGAACATCCTGGCTCAGGACGGCCTTGAACAGAGTGCTTGGGAGTCCCAGCCATGGCAGTGTGGGGGGAGAGTAAGGGTCCCAGCACACTGGCCTCCTGACAGACCCTGTGTGGACCTTCCTGTGTGGCTCTGGAAGCACAAACCAATCACATGCGGCTTTGGAGGTATTTGGGCCCAGAGGGGCCGCACAAGGTGCCACAGAGGGACAGGGCTAAGAGGGACAAGATCTCTCCACTCACAACTCCCCAAGCCCCACCAGCAGGTAATTCCCTATTGGAGGCAAGTCTCTGAAATTCAGTTCCATATTCAACAATCATTTATTGAGCAGAGTGGTAGGTTAAAGACGGCTGCAAATTCTTCATGCCTCACCCCATTGACAGGCAAGGCCCATTTCCCCATCCTTGAACCTGTGGCCCTGTGACTTTA